GGAAAAAAAAAAAAAAAAAAAAAAAAGAAAAGCCCAACAAAGTTGGACATGATAGCTCGTGGCTTTGCGTGGGGGGGAAGCCTGGATTTTCTGGACTCGAAAGGGGGGGGTGTGATTTCCAGACTTCCTTTTCTCTATTTTTGGCTCTGAGAAATCGAACTTGAAATGTGAAATTCAGATATCGTGGTGGATCTGACAGGAACGCTTCTGCGTCTGTCGGATGGCCTGTTAGAGGCATCATGACATACATGGTGATGAACCCTCATTCCCACTTCGCCCCTCTGCTGATTTCCCAGACCCTTTCCCGCCCCATGCCCTTTCCCTGGCAGAGATCCTGTCCTAAATGATAAAATCCTACAACCCAGTCTTCCTCACATCTCTTAATCATATAAGGAATCCTCCCCTGGATCCCCCCAGGGAGTTTTCTGCTAAATAATTTTTTATCCTTCCTTATCCTTCCTTATCCTTCCTTATCCTTCTTTTTTTTCGCTGCTCTGGGTCTACTGATTGGGAGGGTCAAGGCTAGCAGCCTGAGCACTCTAATAACAAGATAGTACGGGGGAAGGGGAGGGGGGGGGAGGAGCTAGTGTGTATCAGCAGGTATCCGGCGCCGGGTTCAGGGTGAAGAGGTTCCCCCTTTCCTCCTTTTATCCTGCTCAGTCAATCCCCTGGATTCCAGGGCAATCAATGCTGGCAGAATCCCCCCCGTGACAGTTTCTTTTCTGATGTACTCTATATTCAATCTGTATATGGGACGCTGGACCCGTTTTCCAGCAAGGTGGTGCTCCCCACCAATAGATGGAGCCTCTCCCCAGATGCTAGTGGTGCCTGCTCTTATCAGCACCACTAACACTGGCCGGGGCATGGTTTAAAAAAAAAAAAAAAAAAAGGAGATACATGGTGATGAATCTATCCCCATACCCATTACTTGTTCATCCTCGTGGCTGTGTTCGTGGACACATTTTATTGCCACGGTACATCACTATGAAGACTTACGTGAAGGAGATCCTACCAACCCATGTATTCGGGTGCACAGCTGTTCTTCATAGTTTTATGTGCTATTTCAATTCATTTTTAATCAGAAAACGATCCATTCATGCAAATAAAAAATCACTTTGTATTTTACTATTTTCCAAAAAACCATAAAATTGGGTCACACATCGTAGAATACTTCGCTAGTGGGTCCAGGCCCCAGGGCTGGGCGTCGTCAGGACAGCGGTCAAGTGTTGTTGTTTTTTTTTTTCCAA